GCAAGGGCTGGCCGGCTTTATACACCAATAAACTAGTGCGGTGTGACAGTTTTCTCGGGTTCTCGGGGTACTAACCTGTGATCAACTAAAATCATTTGTACGCAACAGAAAAGTTCAGGTTGATCCATGCGTGGATTTTTTCGAGTTCACTTGTGGCAACTGGATCGCCGCTCATCCGATTCCTAGCGACGAATCTTATCGCACACAAGCACACGTACTATCGGATAAGGTCCGAAAGCAGATGAGAGGTAAAGTCCACATAAGTACTAAAAGACACATGGTACGATCGCACATTGTTTGAGTGTGCGTGACTATCAGACCCAGCTGTCAAAGCCCAGTACCGAGCATGCGCAGGAATGGAGATCCAGGACCGTGAGACACGCTAAATTCTTCCATACTCCGCCTGACATGCAACATGCGGTGCAGACCCACGAACCCGTTCATATTAGGTTGATCAAAAAGTTTTGATAGAGTTTTTGGAAGTTCCAAAACTTTTGATTCTTGATCGATACCAATGGAATTAAAGATGTTGAAGATAACAAAGGCTAGGAGTGAAGAACATGCTTCGACAGCTCGGAGGCTGGTAGTTACGCACACATATATTAGGTTCAACGGTACCATTTGTTTTCGTGCCTCCGCGATGCTGAGAAAATAGTGCCCAGTTTTTCGAAAAAAATCAGCTCGATGCACGATTTAAGCTACTATAACTCGTAGCCAGTAATATGGGTTTCAGCAAAGTTCTTGTACTGCTCAATAATTAATAGTCAGATTCAGATGCACTTGAGTCGCCAGAGATCTTCGCTTCGAAATCCATGAATGCTCCTGAAGTCTATATACCACAAATGTATGGACCAAAAGGAAGTTAACAGGATCGGGCCCAAACAGCTTCTGCAGACCATTAAGGCATGATTTCTGCAAGCCTTTCCGAAGAGTTGTTGCTCAGTGATTTTCCATAGAGTTATGGTGTGTGGCCGATGGTGGATGGAGACGATAAATGGCGACTGGAAAATTTTGATTTAACGTCCTTGATGATTGATGTTAGTAAAGTGAGAGGAGTTAAGCGTCTTTATCGCTTACGAAGTTTCGAAAGACTGGAAGAACGCATCAAGAAGGATCATCCAGGTAAAAACAGTAAGCAACTTACTAATTACGTTATTATTAGGGTGTCCACAAAGTTCGTTGGCCATTTGTAACAGCGCGTTGTGATTTTGCATAATGATTTCGCAATACTGAAAGTACTCGCGATGGGCTATCTTCTGAGCTAGCTAGCTCTAAATTTCCTTTCCTGATCTTTCCACAATAAAGCAGTGAAGATGAGTGATAGTTGCTGGACTACTACAATCTGGACATCTCCAGACGTCAGGCCACGACCAGGATGCGTCAGCAGTTTGGTGATAACACCCCTTCTAAGAACTGGATGTCAAAATGGTGGACTCGACTTCAACAAATTTCGACTGTGGCATCGAAAGCATATGCCGCAGCGTTATCTGCGTTCTCTCGATCACGTGCCGTCAGTCCACTGTAGACCCTTACCCAACAATGCCACCAGAGACGGCAGAGACCCCTTAAGAATTACAGCAGAGGTCAAGGTGAAAGCTGCCGCCTTGTCCCAGAAACTTGCAAATCCGTGGTTGCTCTGAGACAACGCGCGCCCCCACAAAGCGAGAGATACTCAGGCCGTCCTGGACAGGCTGGGCATCAAGACGATCACGCATCCACCGTATAGCCCGGACATCAGTCCATGCGATTACCACATCTTCCGGTCCATGCAAACTTCCTTGGACGGAAAACAGCTGAAGAACGAGCGCGACCTCGAGGACGTGATCGAGGACTGGGCGAGTCGCGGCTGGCCGGCTTTGGGAGGATGGAGTTGCCTCTCTACCCGATCGTTGGCGAAAGGTGGTGGGTATGCATGGAGATTATATCATGGACCGGTAAGTTCAACTTGGTGAGTTATCTTTATAAGCTCTGCAAAAAACGAATGGCCAACGAACTTTGTGGACACCCTAATAGTTACGTGACTGATGTCACCACAACTGCGCATCCATCCAAAATATCATCATAACCAGCGGATATCCTGGAAAAATTAAGGGTTTTCGGAAGCATCTAGTATGGCAATTTGTAAGAATGTTGTTGATGGCGCAAAGGAATTAGTATGGAGGAATTTACTGAAGTTCGAGGATAAAAACTTGCGTGCGAGTTGCCATAAACAAATCTAAAGACTTCCCCAAATACTTCTAATGGAGAGAAGTAGAGATTGCCGCCAGTCAAAAGGAGCAAAAAAAGAACGAACACACTGGAGTGCCGCCTTATCTTTCATTTGCAGCGGAAGGGTTACCAGAAGCACTGCACTATTTACCCACCGACTAGAGCTTACACCACCAGCAAGTGAGCTCCAGTCATTCAGTAGGAATCGTTAGCTGCATTGTAGTATAGTGTAGTTCACTGCGGACGGTTGGGCGTGTCGGCTGTGCGGTGCCAAACTCGTTCTCCACCAGTTGTTGAAGCGGGCAAGTGACAATACTGTATCATATCCTTCGTATTACTCGTTTTCTACCACTTTTTGTCGCATGCGCGTTTCAACAAGAAGGCAGAGAACGGCTTTGAGGGTGACACACTCACACTGGCTGACACGCCCGAACCGTCCGCAGCGAACTAGATTGTAGCTTTAGTCACTTGTGAATAAGGTATCTTACACTTTTTTTGTAAATTAGCATGCACCCAGTAATATAAGGACCCAGTAATACAATTAGTGATTTGCGTGCGTAGACTTTACAGCTCTGTACACGTGGAAAAAGAGCTAAAATGAATCCCCTTGTTCAAAACGTCCACAACTTTGTGGCGGAAGGGTCCACAACTGAATAACGTCAGTTGTGGACCTTTCTGCTACAAAGGTCGGTTACATGTTGAGTTTACTTTCACAGTATCGAGCATTAGGGACTCCAAACATCGCCTTTGAACGACTGTGGCTGAAGCAGTAACCTTGATGGAGTGCATCGCGTATATATTTTCACTTCAAATTCACCACTTTTCAAACCAAATTCACCACCATTCAGAACAAATTACTCGTTTTAGACCGGGAAACTGACCAACAAGATCACGGCGGACATCACTATGAACCCTGCCCCGGTCACGCCTACTTGTCAGCGCGGACATAGATTTTCAACACATGACTGACTCCGCCCATTCTTTAAAGTTTGTTGCGAACTTCAAATCTTCATAACTTTTTCAATTTTTAATTTCACATCCACTCTTCGCACAACGAAGGTACTCGTAGACGCGCATTCATGCACCGGCAATTTAGGCTCCGCCCCTTTGGCTACGCCCACTTGCTTTTTGCGGAATTTTGATATTTTCCAGGAAATTTTGCATTTCTGGACTGCCCCACTAAGCCTTTGTCTGATTCAAAACTTTGTCTGTTCAATTTGTTCCGAGTGTTGGACGAGACCCTAGCATGCAACCCGAGGCTCTATATTGTCGAGTTGCAATACTTTCAAAAAGTGAGCAGGACTTTTTCAAAGTGAGCGGGGCCTTCCACTGGTCACACAGTGGTCGGGGCTTGACGGAGCAGCCGCGAGGCGAAAAGCAAGTGAGCGTACCCAGGGGCGGAGCCTAAATTGCCGGTGCATGAATGCGCGTCTACGAGTACCTTCGTTGTGCGAAGAGTGGATGTGAAATCAAAAATTGAAAAAGTTATGAAGATTTGAGGCTCGCAACAAACTTTGAAGAATGGGCGGAGTCAGTCATGTGTTGAAATCTATTTCTGTGCCGACAAGTTTGGACGAGCGCTTCATTCATCCAGTGTTGGTACCAAGAGGGCTGATGCTTGGTGTATCCCAACCATGTCTACCTTCTTGATCGAGCCGAAAAAACTGGAAGCAATCGGGTCGTGGTGCGTGCACAGCCAGAACTACCCAGCTCCCTCCTCTTCTCCACCCCTCGACTCTACAAATACGATCAGTGATCTTATTCACAGAAGCGGCGCAGTCCTTGAGAGACTTCTGCCACCGCTATGGCCACGCCATTCCGTTTGGTGTCTGCTCCATTGTAGAAGAGTTTGACACCTTCTCCAATCTCGCGGGCCTTCGCACCCTTCCATCGCGTTTCCCGAGGACTCTGATGTTCCTGCATCTCAGGAGATCGGCAGCCTTTCGAAACTTCCCGGTAAGCGACGGTGAGCGACGCTCCTCGCCACATTTCGAATTGGCTCCTTTAGCCGAGGTCGTCTACCCCTCGGTCGCATTTGCAAACCGAACATAACTCAGGCGAAGAATCAGCGCTACTTTCGGGTGACTTCCTAGCATCAGCTCTGATAATTTGCGACGTTTCATAATGTTGTGACGAGGTTCTCCATCATTCGGCCTGTTGCCATCATCCTGGGTCTGACGTTAGTATCGGCACCTCTTTCGCAGGGCATAGTTTGCTCCAAGACAGTGATCGAACTTGTGGCTCAGAGCACGGACGTCAGCGTAAATTCCTAACCACTTGGTTATCCCTTCAGCTTTCACCTTTTCGCGGGAAAATCATAAAATAACGAATATTCATAAACGATTTGCAGATTTTGAGGGGATATTTTCCACTTTCTAGCTTGTAATTCTGTTTCTGAATGTTTTCTTATTACCGAAGGGATGTCTCTCAGATTGGAAACTCTTTTTTACGAGAAATTTTCGTCGTCGATCGATGCGAAGCCGTGAGACATCCTTGGGAAATTGTTTTGTAGCTATCACATGGGAATTTCCCAGAGTTCACGATTCGCTCCTGTCGCTTTGTATAACATTGTTTTGAGGAAAGTTACACCTTTCTGGAATGCAGAAAGGGAAGGACCAGTGGAATAGCTTGCTACAGTGCCGAAACACGAGACAGCTTAAAGGCAACGCTCACGATCGACTCTGCAGGCTAAAGGGCTCATAGTTGTTAGAGCATGTGGCAACGGCAAACAAAGCACCAATCAAAAAAGTAATCGAAAACTGTCACAAGAACAAGGAATAATACACTAATGAGACGCTATTCGATCGGGAGCATCTCCACGAAATTCGCCGATTATGGGTGAGTTCTCCAAAACTCACCGCTGCCTCGATGCGGCTAGTTCTCATAAGGCTATAACCTAGGTTTTCCAAAGTTAATCTATCCAATCTCTCTCTCTCTCTTAAGCTATTATTTGACCTAGTGTATCTATAAGTTAATCTCTCTATTACTCTAGGAAATGAACGCTAGATTAGCAATTATCAATGCCAGCAAAGACTGATGTTGGAAAACCAATCTATCAAGCACGTCGAGTCGCAGGAAAAGGTATTCTCTGTGGTTACGGATTGTGCGATCATGCTGGATCAGGGTTTCTTCACTTGGTTAATCGCATGAATCGCTCTCTTTAAAAGCAGCCACGCTGTTCCCCTTTGAAGTGTGGCTTGTCTTCCATTTTTTCCTGTACAGTCAAGTGAGTGAGTTTTTCACCTTGATTGGTCACAGTCCCTGTTTTCAAGTAAAAAGATAGCGGTATCGTATAGACTCCGCCACTTCCAGGTTCAGAGTGCTCTCGAAGATACGCAAATAGAGCTGAAACCACGGCACATCGTCGCCGGGAATACCCCAGCACGGAGTCGCTCTGGTCTGACAACAAAATTTTTTTGACAGTTGTTTTTCTTGTTCTCTACCACGGACTCTAGAAGGGAAAGGGATATTCGCTTGCTGCTGGGAGAGCGGTCAGCGTATCTACTTTATGGATTTCTAAGAGAGTTTGTTGACGTTTCATGGTTTGAAACTCCGACCGCAGCCTCGAGAACTTAGTGAACCTACGAAATGGATTATGTGCAGTGGTGAACCTGAGCATATCGGGGAACCGCAATAGTGTACGGAAGCCCTCACCATA